CGTTGGTCCCAGCCTTGGGTGCAGCGTGCCAGCGTGGGCGAGTCAACCAGGCGGCGGCCCCCGGTGGCGGCGGTCGGGCCGGGCTCGGAGCCATCGAGCTCTCGCTGGCAAGTCAGGACACAGAGCTCACACCAATGGGAATTATTTTTTCTGGCTGGGCGCCGCTCTTTCCCTCGCATAGCGGCCACTCTTCGGATCGCTGGTCGAGCGACCCGGGGGATGCCCCGCGCGCCTGACCCAGGCGCAAAAACGAATCTGCGAGGCGTGGCCGCTCATGCGGCCCGATGGGGAGGAGCGGGGCGGACTACGGGGATCGGCTTCTTACACCGCCCTTCCCTGCAGCGAGCCTCCCCCCAACCCCCACCCGCGCTAGGTCTCGGGGGACGCAGGGGTCACACCCGACGACCTCGGGAACTAGCCGGGGCAGTCGGAGAAGGGGCAACTCCGTGCACTGACGGTCGGCCGTCAGAAAACACGCCTCCGTGGCTCGGGTTACACCAACCCTCGCTACCCAACGCGGCCAAAGGATATCCACCTCGAGAACCTCGAGAAGTGAGTGAGTGAGTATTCTTGTATTATTCTTGACACACACACACACACACACACACACACACACACACACACACACACACACACAACCTCGAGAAGGCGCTCTCAAAAAAAGAAATAATCGCCTTTGGCCCGGCGTCTCAAGACTCTCCGCCTGCTGGTCCGAGATGTTCTTGCGCCCAGCTGCCCCTGAAGCGGCAGCGAAGGGCGCCAAGCGGCGCTGGAGGCGCCTCGACGTGGTGGACCCCGCCGTGTATGCCAAGCCGGGCGAGCGGGTCCGCGCAAAATTTCAGGGCGACATCGGCGGCTTCAACTGTACGCGCTCATCCCCTTATCACTGTCCCTGCACACATGTCAGAGGGCACGCACGGACTAGGTCGCATGGGCTCCCTCCAAATCCCGTGCTTCAGCGGTTCTACTAGTGATGTCGGCCTCTGCCGCCGCTCTCGCCTCATCGCCGCCGCCCCCGCCGCCGTCTTCTCCTCTGTCCGATGCCTCCCTTGCCACCCACGCCGCCGCCACCATCCCAGCTGCCCTAGCCGCCCCCGCCCCCACCCCCACCCACGCCCGAGCCAACCACGCAGCTCCATCCCCACCGCCGCCCTCGCCCCCGCCCTCGCCCCCGCGCCGCCCTCTCACTCTCCACAATCTCCGCCCCAGCCAACGCCTCTGCCCCCCCGCCCTCGCCGCCGCATCCCGCCCCCTCGCCGCCCTCCGCCGCCCTGCGGACTGCCGCTGTTCTCGCCCGCACCTCCAGCCGCCCGCTGCTCTCGCCGCCACCCAAACCGCCGCCATCATCCCAGCCGCCCTCGCCGCCGCCGCCCTCCGGACTGCCGCCGTTCTCGCCCTCTCGCCTCCAGCCGCCCCCAACTTGCCACCGCCCCCTCGTCGCCAACGCACCCCATCCTCGCCACCACCACCCTCGC